TTGTCTAAATAATCGATTTTTATAAAAATAAATTTTTTTTTTATTATCTATAAATAACATAAGTTTTTAGTTTAGTGAGTTTTAAATTTACTTTATACAATAGAAATGTCCAATTTTCTATTTCAAAGGTCTTTTGACTCGAATTACATCGTAATTAGTACATTTATCCTAAATACTGCTATCGCAAGAAGTTCGAAAATTAGATTTTATTTTAAAAAAATTTTATGGGAGAAAAATAAAATAAATAGAAATCCAATTTTTTTTTTTTTTTAATAAGATGCCTCCTTTTGGCATTGAAGAAGCCACAGATTTATTATAAAGAAAAAAGAAATATTTCAATTCATTATTATCATCATTACAATTGTCTGTTCCTAGATTACTTTCTCCTGTTTCGATAAAGATTGACGATTTATCAGATGTGTTAGTTTAACCATTCTTTTTTCTTTTGAAGTTTCGTCATCATACTCTATTAGATAAAAAACATTCTTATCATTATTCACATACATCCTATCTTTCTTCAATTTAATAACTTTTCTAATTAAGTATTGTGTTTTTATACCCTTATTCAATATACTACTTATATCCAATAATCCAGCCCGGTTCCTAATTATCACTTTATGAATTAATAATTTAGTATCAAAAGGATTAATTACACAATTTTTCAAAGCTTCTTCTTCAGTGTCATAAAATCTATAGTTTTTTTTATAATTTATTTTTTCATCTTGTTTGATATTTAATAAATATTTGAATCTGTTAATAGGCGTATTTTCAGCACGATAAAGGGTAATTGGTTTATTGATAAATTCCTTATTACAGTCTCTTAGAGCCTGTCTAAACATTGCAACATTATATCTACGTATATCCAAATCTGAATTTGCATGTTCATAATAAACTAAATAGATCTTATAGTAATCCTTGAATTCAATGATGTGCTTAACTTCAGGATCCTCCAAATATTTTTTAAACACACGTTCTATTTTCTTCCAATCTTTCTCACCATAAATTATTTTAATTATTTCAAATGCATCATTCAAATAATAAACTGGATTTAATGTATTTTGAAATAGCACATCATCGATGCGTAAGTTATTTTTTATTTCATACTCTTCATATTTTGGTGGAATATTTAGATCACCTGATGAATGAATATCCTGTGCCAACATGTCATAAGTAGGAACTGAACGATTATCCTCATCAATGTTTAAAATGTATTGTCTTAAAAAAATTTCCATCTCATCTAATCTATGAAGAGGAGTATTTAAGGATATATGGTATGCAGCATTCTCAATAGTTTTCATTCTTTTAGATTGAATCCTGTTTATATTGGTAAATGACATTCGTAAATTATATTTATCCTCTCTTATCTTTTTCCATTCGTCTATTGTAGTAGGCTTTTCCTCCAGTTTCATTTCTAGAATTCCTTTCAAAGATTTGGTCCCTGTTACTAGGAACACAACTTCTGGAAATACAATGTATTGGTTTTTTAAACTATCATGATATGCAGCTAAATCAACAAGTCCATGTTGAGAATTAAATTTCATATGATAACGAACTTCTGTATTCCTTGAAAATTTTTTTAACTTTTCCATAGGAATATTTTCATAATCGGACTCAATATCTGTCAATGGAGTAATATCATTAAAATAAAACTCTTTTCCTTTCAAATTCTGTAAAATTTGAACAAAATATGGTCTTGATATTGTTTCTCTAAAATACATAAATATTGGTTTTTTATTATCAGTTTTCCGTGTTTCTAATTTTCTGACTTGATAATCATTAATTATCTCGACACTTTCTCGAACTCTTTCTAATATATCTTTATCTTTTCTTATGCCAGATATGCCATTTTTACAAAATTTGTGTAGTGCCATTTTCCAATTATTGTATAAATCTTCATTCAAAGAATAAGGAATGTCCAAATTTTTTGCCGTTTGAAAATTTTCAACAATCAAATTTCTTTGTGAAATCTTGAGATTAATGAAGTCGTTGACTAAAGGTAAATTGTTTCCTTCGAATATTGGTGAAATATATTCATTAAAAAAATTTTCAGTTATTAAAAAATTCAAGTTGACACTTGTTTCCAAAAGACAGTTGCCCTCATCGATGTAATTCAATGGAAAACGTTGTCCAGAATTCTGATCAACCTTAAACATTTTATTCATTACCCGATTGAATATTTCAATTTTTAGTAGAAGAATTTGACGATTTATTGACATAATTATACTTGTTCTAATGATATATTGATATATTTTATCCACGTTTTTTGTATCAGGTATTTCATATTTTTTAACTTGAAAATATTGACTTTTTTTCAGCATTATTTGCAAAAATTTATGTTTTATCTCAAATTCATTGTCGAAATTATTAAAATCTCCAAAAAAAGTAAACAATTGAGAATGATCTTCATTTTTTGGTCCTAATGGAATTAAGTCACTTTTATAAAAAGTGATACCAAAAAAAATACAAACAGGAAGAAGATGAGAATTTGATGAATGTTGAGCAAATATTGTTGTGCTATTCATTGTATTACAGTTGATATTTCCTTTGATTTATTGGCTTCTGTTTTGGTTCAACTTGTATAGCTCTGCAATTTCATAGATCCCAGATTTTGTGTTAATAGAACTGAAATGGTCGCATATATTATTAGCAACTTGAGCAATTTTACAAATTCTTATAGAAGTCATTTTTATAAATATAATAATAAAAGATAACAGTGGGAGTTAAAATTGTTTTGATAGAGTTTGTCTAAGAAAGATTAAATTTTACCTTTTATTCTTCAATATTTTTTTTTGCGAAGAAGAAATAACTATACACGTATTCGGTAGAGTGACTATTATATAGAACTGAAAATTTCTGTGCTACTAAAGTTTACAAATGTTTCACTATATCACAAAATTTTTATTGATTCTTTTATGTTGGCAATTGTTAAATGATAATTTTCTTAAACTTTTACAAATAAATCAATATTATTTCAATGACTTTTTTAAACAAAAATTTGACAAAAAGAGGGAAAAATTGATATTGAATAACAAAAAAAGGAAAAATAAAAAAGTTAGATAGTTAAATTTAAAAATTAACAAAATATCAGTTTCTCATAATTAACAAAAGGAAAATAATAATAAAAAATATTTTCATTGGTCAATTTAATCTTAAAAAATTTTTGTCTAAAATAACAAATCTACATAAGTCTTAAAAAAATTTAAATAAAAAAACAAGCTGCAATCTTTTATTTTTAGTATAAAAAATTTTATTACAATACTTCAGGTTCGTTGATAATTTTTATCGCAGTTTTGCGAAATTTAAAAAAAATTGAATAGATACTATAAATAATTTTTCAAGTACCACATTAGAAATTGATAAATAGTACCATAAATTATAAAACTTTGAAATAAAAAAAAACAAACTGCAATCTTTTGTTTGTAGTTAAAAATTTTTTTTGTATTATAAAAAATGTAATAATAATTTGTTATATTTTAGTAAAAATCATTTTTTTCTGATTATTAAAGTTTTTTTTTATGAAATTTTCAATGCTAAGAAAAAATTTAAAAAAATGTCAATAAAATTCAACCTTCACCTACAATTTTTTTTTGTAAATGCGTTAATATATTTTGGAGATTTTTTACTTTCATAAATATAAAAATAATTTACAAATGTAACAAGTAGATCCAAGAACTTTTAATTTTTGACTAGGGACAATATTGAGGAATTATCCTCCATATAAAATCAGCTTTCTCGCCTTCAGAAGGGGCAACCGGGTCATTGGATCAAGGTTTGAGAGATATTTTCTCTTAGTCATTGACGTTGTAGTCTTCATAGTGTTGCTTTTTCCTTCTCGAGATGCAGTTGAATGATTCTCGCCTTCTTCAGCCGCTGATCATCTTCATTATATACCCTTCTAGATAAATGTCAAAGCTAAATACTATTTGAGATTATTGTCGTTTATGTATATTATGACTCTTCGTAGAATGAGTATGTAGAGGGCCTTTTCCGCCAATTATAACTAATGTTGCAATTTTCTCGCTAACGTTCGCATAATGTAAGAGTTGAAATACATAAAATAAGACAAAATAGAAGACTGATTGAAGAGTATAGAAAAATGCATAGGTAGTTACCTAATAATATATCTCATGTAATCGTTTTGACTTTTGACTCCTTTAAAGAGTAATGGAAAATGAAATGAACTTGAAAGATTTTTAATCTTCTACTTATACATAAATAAATATTTCTAAATTCATCAATTTTACCTGTATAATTTAATTTTTTCAAATTTCAATATTTAAAAATTAAAACTATATTTTAAATTCTTAAAAAATTATTTTCACTTTTTTTTATTTATGAATTTAAAGATTTGATATTTCATCTCAAATTCATTGTCGGAATTATTAAAATATTCAAAAAAAAGTAAAAAAAGTGAATGTGAGAAATATAGAGAAAGAGCAATGTTATAAATAATGATTTTTAAAAACTGTATTCAACACTCCTCACTAGTTTATACATAATATATCCCATACTTGACATGATTTACTTTAAAAAAAAACTTGTAAAGTATAATTAACGCCATACAATGAATATTAACAACAACAATATTTTTAATTATAGAAATTGTTTTAACGCTGTCTTAAAATTTTAACCACTAAGAACATAATTATTAAAATATTATGATACATTTTTTAGTAGTATAGATTTGTTGGATTGACTAAAAAAATTTAATACATTTCATATGATAATAAACTTATAACTAAATTTGTATTTTATATACAATATTAAATATTATTCGATTAAATGTACAGGAATGTTTAATTATAAAATATGTTAATAATTACATTTTTTAGGCTTTGTAAAACATAATGAAGAAAAAGGTGAATGATTTAAATTTCATCTCAATTATAAAATTGAGAAAACCTGGTTAAATTAAATTAAATTAACAAAATAAAAAGTGAACAATTTTTACTGTGCATTAACATGAAAATATTTAAATTATATTAAAATTCTATTTTTTTATGAATTTTGTATTATTTTTGTACTAAATTTAAATTCCTTCTAAAATAATAAATTATTTTAGCAATTATTAATTATACATTATTGTAAATGATAATAAATAATTTTAAAAAGTTGATGAAAAATCGCTATAGTCCATTTTGTTAATTTAAAATAATTTTAATGAAAATTTCTTTCTACAAATTATTTCTAAGACCTTGAATAATAATTATTCAACAAGACTTTGAATCATAAGCGCAATATCGCTTCGAATTTACTCAGGATTATATTATTCAATATTTGAATTTTTAATGAACAAATAAGACTTTTCGATTTTAAACACATAAGCAACAAGTTCACGAAAAACATATTCAAATCGGATTCTGATCAGTTGATTAGAATGTGATTTTTATAAGTTTACTATTGTTGTGTCAAGATATGACTGGACGTTTTGTTGGCACGTTGATTTGCATTCATGCAATTTGAATATCAGGAAACTTATAAATCTCTAATTTGAAGTTTTGCTCTCTTGCCAATGAATTAAATTTAAATCATTGGACTCATATATTGAGCAGTCACTCATTTCATTTCTGAAAAAAAAAATGAAAGTGCCCTTACAGAATATTCAAATAATAAACAAAAAAATTCTACTATTTGCATTACTGTTGAAATAAAATTTCAAATTTCAAATATTCAAATTATATTTTTAGTTATTGTTGAAAAGTTAAAAGAAAATGTATTCAACTAAATCACAATAATGATATGTTTGATTAAAATTGTAAATAATAAAAATTAAAATTTGTATAATTACAAAAATGGATCCTTGAGAATGAAAGCTCTAGGTTGAACTCGTTTTAATCTGTCACCATTATCACATAATATCCTAGCCATTGTGGTTTTTTTAATTTCCTCCAATTGCCTTGGTAGAAATGAACCTGGAGTGTGTTCATTTTCATACCAGTATCTGTCGCCTAAAAATGGAATTAAATAAAATATTTATCAATTAAAAAACAAACAATTTAAAACATTTAAAAAATTTTAAAAATTGTTATTGTATGTAAAAAAATATATATTAGAATTATTTTAAAAAATAGAAACTTAAACATTAACATTAAATACATAAATTTTTTTAAAAAATATCATTATTTTTTAGATTTAAAAACTTATTAATTAGAGATAATTTAAAAATATTATTGATGAATAATTTTCAAACCTAAACGAGCATTTCTGAAAGTTCTTCCCAATAAGCAAAGGAAAGTTGGACCCAAAACTGAACCTTCCACTGGTAATTCTGAAAGTGCACCAGTTACCAAATCTACGTCTTCCACCTTGCTGAAGAAATGAACAAATATATCGAATATCGAGTATTGCGCAAATTAGAAAATCTCGAAAATGAAGAAATATAAATAAATAACATAATTATAATACAACAAATGTAGCTAATAATTAAATATATTGAAAATAATGGTTATAAATAAATAATAATAATAATAATAATAATAAAATAATGTAGGCACCTATAAACTCGCTCCAAACGGTCAATAGTTTCTGACAGCATCGTTCCTTTAAGATCGTAGAAATGATCAACATTTGGAAGATCACAGAAAGATCTCCATTTGACGTAAGTCGCCAAGCCATGATCTCTGCCTTGTTGAATCATCTGAGCGGCATAGTCAACAGCAACATCGTTTGTCTTTCCATCGTGAAAGTATCGGTCCAAAAGGATCTCATTTAATCCTGGCGGAAATGGTTTTCTGGAATGTCCAGCTGTCATGGAAATTAAAAATGATAATTTTAAGATTCATCGATCTCAGTGTCTGATTAATAATATAATTCATAAAAATTACAATTCATTAAAAGCAAATTTAATATACAATTTAAAATTTTTTCTTTTATTACATAACAATTTTTTTTTTTTGTAATCTTTTCTAAACGAACAAAATTTTACATTTTGTCAAATTTATTTGAAAAAGAAAAAAAAAATTGTTTTTATATTTCCAAAAATGGTATAGACGATAAACTCACCAGTTGCACCAGCGATTAATCGATCAATTGCTCCAGCCTCATAAAGCTCCTGTGGTGCATAAAAGGCAGAAAGAAGTGATCTTTCACCTGATTTCTGTGAAGATCGTGAATCAACGAGATCAAGAGTCTTTGGTGTTAATGCAACAAAAAATGAAAATCCTGCCGAAGACGCTGCATTCGTCATTGTGCCATCAATGCGAAAATCATATTCACGAAAATAGCCTCCTGGTGTTAAACGCAAGTCAAATCTTCAAATATGCCCCCCGAAAAAAATGTTTTTTTAAAAAAAATTCTACCTTTTTTATCTTAAAAATAGAAAAATATGAAAAATTTTGTTACTTTTAATTTTTGTATAAAATCATTTAATTTAATTTAATTTTTGTTTACTTTTCAAAAGTAGAGAGAGAGAGAGAGAGAGAGAAAAAAAAAAATTCAAATTTTAACTTACTTATCAAGAAATGTTTCGCCCATAATAACAGGAAGAAATTCATTGTATGTCACATGTTGCATTTCGGCAATGACAATTTTTCTTGTTTCCTGATAAAGTTTCTCATCATTCCAATGTGGATTAATTTTTTCAAGTTTCTGCGCAATTCGATTGTGTTCGCGAAGAAAAAGTAGATGCATTAACGCCAAGCCAGGATGTTCATTGATTCGAGAATCACCGCTAAAAAAACATGGCAATGCTTTACTTTGACTTCGACAATTTAATGAGTCCTTCGATGGCATTGGTAAATTTTTTCTTTGCGTATTCAATAATCCACCAGTTTTTGCTCTAAGAATATTTGATGTCTCCTCTGAGCTTCCATAAATTGTCGATAAATCGAGATAAGACGATGCTTGATTGATCTGTTGCCTTGGTCCTAATTTGCATCCCTAAAAAAAATCTGTATAAATAAATATAGGTAATGAAACAATTATATTTTATTTTTTTTTTAAATTGAATAACAAATTTTTTTCAATCTTTGATAATACTATCAAGTTTCTTTTAAGTTGGTGCTCCGAAAAGTAGTAAATTTTATGTAAATATTAATGATTAATTTTTTGGAATATATTTAATAATTTAAAATAACTGGATTTTCTGATTCATTGAGAAAGTTTGATATAACAAGAAACAAGGGGATAAGGTTAAAATTAATAGTGTTTGTAACAAGAAAAGTCACAAGATTTACAACTAGCGTTTAGGATAACATCTGATTGATTAGCAAGTACATCTTTGCCACTTGAATATTGTCGTTAATTACCTATTGCGTTACATTGTCAATGATTATTATCGATAGCCAACGGTAATTTATGTTTACAATAGAGAAGCTACTTTCTGAATTAAATCTTCATGAAATAAAAAAATAATTTTATCCTTCTATCAATTAAAGGATTTTCTTTGATATCTATCATTATTAAAAATGATCTTCCTTATTGAAACCTTCATTGAATGAAAAAGTCTACTGAAAATGTTTTTTTTTTTTTTAATTTTATACTTCCTTTAGACATTTCTTATCATTTTCAAGTAAAATTTATTTCCATAAAATAAATTTTCTTCTTAAAATAAAAATTCGTTTCTAAAATAATAAAATATTGTTTGTGGTATAAAATTTTTATAAAATAAATTATAATTTAAATTAAAAAAAATTTTTAATAATTTTTCTCTTATATTTGTTTAAATAAATTATTCTGAAATTTCAATTTTTTTCTGCGAAATATAGAATTTAACAGCAGCAAAGTAAAAAAGAAAATAATTTTTAAAAAAATCCATAATAATTAATAATGTAAAATAAAGTTTATTAATCGACATTCCTTCCTGAAAGCGAGTTTATTAATAATAATCAAAAGGAGTAAAAGTGAGATAATATCTAATTTATGGTCTCGTGATTCTCCTTGAGTAAAAGGTATACTAAGGTAAATATGCATACTATACGATCTACTATTATTTATAAATCGTGTGTGTATAATTAAACTCAAGTACTTCCGAAAGTCTCACCTCAAGCGTACTTCCTGGATGAGGTGCCGACCTGGTATATTCCATGCATCCAATTGCATTTTCAGCTTCAATTGGAAAACATTCGGGATGAAAATTTTCAAATTCAACATCACAACATTTCAATCTCTCGCCATTTGGCAATTCCATTCGTGGTGTATGTGCCATATCATGAGCAATAAATTGTCCAAACATTGCTGTTAGTGCCATTAGAAAAGGATGCCTCAAATCTGGACCACCCGAGTGTACTTTAGTGGAAACTTCACGAGCACTAGGAAGATGTGATTTTGGCAATGATACACCGTCCTCATATTCAGGTGACAAAAATCTCGTATACGATTCAAGAGCACCACCCCAAGAAGGATGCAGGGCATTATTACATCTTCCAGTATGCGTTCTATAGCTGGGATCAACTTTTTTACATTCAGCGACCATTCGCAAACTATTTGCCACATTTCCGCTGCATACGTTGATTCCCACCTGATGAAAAAAAAATACTTTCTAATTATATTAATTATACATTTTATTAAAATATTATACGAATATTTTACAATTATTATAATACTTTTCGAAAATTAATTTAAAAAATCATGGAAATGATTTTTTAGAACAATATTTTACTAATTACTAAAAAAAAATTGAAAAACTCAAAAAACAATAGAAATAAAGTTTTTTTTTTCTAAATCATAAAAAATAAATTATTTATTAATATTAATTCGATTAAATTATAAACAATTGATTTTAATTGAAGAAATGAAATTTTAAAGAATAATTGAAAATAAATTGAATTAATTAAAATAATAAATTAAAAGAAACATTCGAAATAATAATATTAAGAAAAAAATTTGTTTCCAGCTTGAGCGAAGTATATATATAGAAGAAATGAAGATATTCAAGTTGAAGGTTACATAAAGATCGAAGTCGTTACAATTTAGAGAAAGTGAATGAAACAATGAAATCAAATGTCAAAGACTTTCATATTGGAAATCATTCGAGTTGTGATATTATTAAAAAAAAAAAATTATTTTAATATTAAGTATCGGATTATTTTATATATATATATTAAAGTTCAAAGAATTCACATGTGAAATAAATATATTCGCAATGTTTATTAATTATTCCTGTCATTATTATTCAGATTGTAAAAATTGTCAGTCTGAATAATAGATTATAAAATTTTTTTATGATAAATGGAATTATAATTCTTCCGAGCAATTCATAATTTAACTGTTTATTGCAGTATAAATACTTAATTTAATAGTATATATCTGCAATTGCCGCAAATTGTTAAGTATGTATTTTTAATTACAATTTATTTATAAATTTTGCAATAAATATTCTTTTCTTCTATATTATTTTTATAATATTCCTGAAAATTTATATAATTTTTAAATATTACTGTAATCTGTTATTTTATTTATTATTTTTCATATTAATTTATTTAATCCGCATGAATTACGTCATTGTTAAAATTTATAAATAATAAAATAATAATTCGGTATTTATAAAATATAATTATTAATAATCTTTGGACTTGAAATCTTAATCTTGAACTTTAGCCTATTTAAATATAAATTTGTTATTTTTAAACAAAAATCAAAGGGTTTTGATTTTTTTTTTTTAATTTTGTCGATTCTTTTTTTAATTTTTTGATTCGATATTTAATTAATAATTAAATTTTTCTATTTTAAAATGCTCAAAATATGACTTAAATTTCTTGAAAAACTTTTTTGTTTTTCTTTATCCAAAATAATTTTCGAAAAAGTATACATTTTCATATAAAAAAAATACAGTATTTTTATTAAATAAATAAATACCGAGGGTAGAAGTGATACAGCATCCTCAGGTGTCATTTTGAGTAATTCAACGAGCATCAATGCCATTGTCTCCATCCTGAGGGCTCTCTTTGAGAGATTCTGGGAAGCTGGACTCATCTCGTGGGATGCAGCCAAGTACCAGGACGGTGAACCTTGATTCAAATGAATCCGAGAATCAATAATTGCCTGTTCTTGTTGATAATATTTTTCCATTGAGGCATTGGCTCTTCGACCAAGATCCTGTACCATTCTTGTTGGTAAAATGGTACATTGTGCAAATGCAAATAGACCCAGAAATCTGTATTTATATTGTACATGAAGAAAGAAGAAATAAAAGGTGAATTTTAATGTAAATAAATATTTTACATTAAATAAATTTTTATAAATATAATTAAATATTAAATTATATTAAAAATAAATATTCTATCAGTACAGTACAGTTTTTTTTCAAAATTTTCAAAAAATACCAAAGATAAATCTCTAATTTTTAATTCGAAAAGATATCAGTTTATTTTTCAAAATTTAAAAAAAAATATATTTTAATTTTTAAATTTTTTGTAAAATATTTTCAAAATTGTTTTTAATTTTCTTAAAGAGTAATATTTAAATGATAATTATCATTAAATTATATATTTAAAACATAATTAATGTAGTTAAATTTTATTCCTGAAAAAAATGCTCTTGTTTTAATTTAAGTTCACATGCAAAATTCGTATATAAACGAGAAAAACACCATCAGAGATTATAAATCTTTTTGCAGTCTGATTTGCATACACGCGCCGCACCTGACAATATATCCACATCAGTATATATATATATAGTTTATTATATACAGTGTTTCCCAAGGTTTTATAAAATTACGATTGTTATTTTTCCCATCATTTTATCATGAATGACAACTCCATAGATTTTCACCACTTGAACAAACCACCTGTCCCACTCCCACGGGTGCTAATTTCGATTCAATCATTTCAATAAATCAATCTATTCGCTTTACTATACATGATCAAATTACTAATCACCGTGATCTGTTAATTCTAACTTTGACATCGCATTAAGGGCAATTAATTTCAATTTCAATTCAAATCGACTGATTACATAATGATAATTTTCATTTTTTATGAAAAAATAATTTTTAAATATTTTTTCAATAAAAAAAAATTTTTTCAAAATAAAGAAGACAATAATAGAAATTGATTTTGTTATGAAGTAATAATCTTTAAAAAAAAAAACAAGTCTAGTTAGAAATTATATATAAATACAATCTCTGGGTGGAAGAGTGAAGACCTTGTCTTCTAAAGAGATGACATTTCGCTTGTGCTCGATTCGCGTGAGATTATTATAATACTCACTTGATGACTTATTCTTTATGTTTATATTTTGTTAATTTCATTCAATGTTCATGTATATGTGAACGAATTTTCTAATAAATTGTTTAAGAATAGGTCTGAATGCGATCTTTGACCTCTAATAATGTAAGAGGTGTCCTTTGCGGAGCCTACCGAACAGCAGATCCGATCTGACATTTAGGATTCGCTCTTCCTGGTTAACTTAAAGACTCCTTTACGTAATTCACGTGACCTACACGACCTACTCGTTCACTTTATCCGTCAATGCAAAATGGTTCACAGTAATTGTATGTCGATCTTTTTGCTTTACATATATAAGATTTACAATCTTCCTTTCGAAAAATCACTAATAAACGGCTTGAAGAATCACGCTTTCTACCGTTGACTTTTTTTTCTGTCTTTTTCTTCATTTCTATTTCTGTTTTTTTAAAAAATTTTCCTTCTTTCTTCATTTTTAGTTCTATTATTTTTTATTTTCTAATTTTCGCTGAAAAAAAACTATATATTATTCTCTAACAAAAATTTTTTTCTCTTTCTCAATATATATACATATATATATAGATTTTTTTTTAATAATAAATTATTAAATCCAATAAATATTATATGCCAATGATTATAGAAATTTGAAATTGATTCAATATATATTTAAATATTTACTTGTCTAAAACTCTCTTACAAAATTCTAATGAAATTAATCAGCCTGTGGAATAAATGAATACAAAATAAAAGACAAATAAATGTTCTACTTTTATTTTTCAGGTAAAAAAGAAAAAAAAATTAAACAAGTGAGTTTTCTTCTCAAATAAATTTCAATTGTTCTTTTAAGGAACGAAGGAGTGAATGGTATATCTTTGCATAGATTATTCTTCAGCAACAATTATTCGTTTGTAAGAATATTACGTCACAGGGAAGAGTTTATACGCACAAATATATATAGGATATAAAAGATTTAAACTGTATAGGACCAGAAAATTTTCATAATATAACGATCGACATTATATATAGGTATAATATATTCATTACCCATTCAATTGTGAAAAGAATGGTACAAACTGATAAGCATAATTAAATGTATCCGATAACTGCACTCACATTTATAAAAATATATATATTTATTTATTCACTTTCAATTAGAGAGCAAAGAAAACAAAATGTCCTATTATTTATTTCTCATCGATTATTATTATATATACAAAAGTCGTTTATTTTTATAGCATAATTTTATAAAAATACAATTTCTCTTTAAACTGATTTTTCAAAAAAAAATTTATCTTTTAGCTTTCTAATTATAAATTAAAATTAGTTCAAAAATTACAATTATGCTTGATATGAAAAATTGAAAAAATATTAATTTAATAATATATAAATAGAAAAAAGAAGAAAATGTTTTACTTTCGATTATTAAGTGTGACTTCAACAAATATTAATATTATAAAATATACATATTTAAAATTGATGATTGGTTAATTTTTTCTTACATAATAACTTTCCTGAGGTTTAACCATAAATATGTCCCATATGCATTGTTGATGCATGAAGGCATATATAAGAATTATGTCATTTTTTTCCATTATACTTTCTCTTCTTTTTTTTTTATAAATTTATATTCCTTTGTGAAATAAAAATTTTTTTGACATTTTTTTTTTTTTTAATGAAACAACCTTTGAACAAGAAGTTGATAATAAAATTAAAAATCATCTTGTGACAACAAACACAAAAAAGCAATCTCTTCATAAATCTTTTGCAATTTATAAAAAAAATTTTGCAAAAAAAAATATGTAAAGAATTAATGTTTTCTTGATTACCAATCTTAAAAATTGGAAAAAAAATTTGAATTAAAAAAAAGTTGTCCTCAAACCTTGAAAATTTATATACATGGAATTTTTGTTTACTCTCAAAATATTATTTAAGAAGAAATTAAAAATTTCTTTTAATTTATATTATAAATAAAAAAGATTTTGAAAATTTTAAATTATTAAAAAAAAGATAATTGATTTATTTTAACATTTACAGTTTTTTAAAAATGATTTTTAATCAAAAGGAAAATAAAATTATTTGATTTGCATCATGAAAGTTATGACATTCAAATTCCACTGTCGCGAAAAAATTAATGAGGAAATTATCACTGTCACATCCTCGAGTCTAAAAATGAATGCTTGTAAGTATTTATATGACGAGTCCTTTAACACGATGATAAATTAAATATTACACAGTTCAATTTATTTAACATCTCATAGAAAGGTATTTAAAGTTAATTATGACTTGTTTCAAATACTAATTAATCTCTCGCACTACGTAATTTAACTTCAATGTAACTAATTAGAAATCATCTCTATTTGATATTATTGGTTTTATTACTATTAATGACAAATAGGCGAGAAAGAAAAAAATTATTATATCGTTAAACTTGCATTTCAAATTAACTTCTTTCAATTAAAAAATTATATTATGTTTTAATTTCTTAGAAATATAAATTATTTTCGAATTCACTATAATTAATTTTATTATTATTCATATTTATTATATCGTTAACTTATTTTTATTTTCATAAATGACATGAAAAACAAATTTTCCTCAACATTCTTCAGTACAAAGAACACCAGTCTCATAATTTATAATTTCATAATTAAATTTGTGTAAATTATTCAAAATGCTTTTTTTAATAGCAAAGAAACTCTGTCATTGTCGGTTTCATGCAAATTTATTTAAGAGCAAATACGTAACGTTTATTTGATTTCTCCGTGGGAAAAATGAAAATAAAAACAAAAATTCTAAAAAGAGGAGGTTTGATTAAATTAAATTAAATTTATAATTCCACATTGAATATAAATAATAAAATATGTAACAATAAATAATAATAATAAAATAAATTATAAAAATATTATTAAATTTAAAAAAAATAACATACTAAGAATTATTAAACTCAATTCATTTTTTCAGTGATCATTGAATTAAAAAAATATATAATTAGATTTTCTGTAATATCAATTTCTCGTAATGTTTTTTTTTCAAATCTATTCATGCAAATAATTTAATTATACCAATACAAAAACCATAAGAAATATAAACAATTCTTTCACCTAGCATGTAAATGAATTGCATGGCATTCGAGCCAACCCTGTGTATGAACAATAAATAATTGCACAAGGATGTGCATCGTATCGTAACGATACATAGAATACAATGAAATCGAAAGCACTCACCGCAACGTGAAGAGGATCATTTTTTGTTTTCAAAATTTCTCTCACTCACTCACTACTTTTTTTTACAGAAAAAATCATTGATGTAAATTTTAATATTAAAAAAAAAAAAAAAATCCCCCTGGCCCCCTTAGGAGGGAGAAGAAATAATAAGAAAAAGCTTTAACAGCCACTCTTAATGTTTTCACTCGAAACTTAAACGCATGAAACTTGATTATCAATGTCACGGCTAAACTCTGTGAATCCTTATGAAAATTGCAATTAAACTGTAAACGTATTTGTGGTTGCAAGAAGTCGCGAAGATAAACGTGAACTGAAGTCGATGTACGATTGAAAGAAAGGCTCCAGGCCCCTTGAGAATTATATATAGGAGTGGGGCCCTAACTCGTGATATTATTATTGTATGGGGTGTCGATCCATTGCACCTATATAGTCACGTGAAATAGAGAGGAATTAGAATGCAAAATATTGTCATTTGATCAGGAGATTGGAAAATTAGTTACGGCTAATTACCACAAAGTTCTGATGGGTTCAGTTTTTATCTTCTCTTTCTTCGTCATTTTTCAAAGAATTATCTTCATTTTTTTCTGATCCTTCGTTATCTTCGTCACGTAATTATTATTTTTCACTTTGTATTTTTTTTCTTATTCTTCTTCTTCTTCTTCTTCTTTGCAAATTTTCATTTTCATTTTTGACATGTCCTGATGAAAAAAGTGGATATCTGCAATTTTTATAGAAAATGAGATTCTTATAACATTTTATAGATTCATTGTGAAATGAGGAACCTGTCAATAATTAATGAACTAATAATTGATTTTCATTGTTCTATGTGATAAGATATTTTATGATTTTTGGAATTTTTGATATAAGTTAATATTAGAATTTTCAAAAATTATAGAATTATTCCAGTTTTTTAAACTTTTTGACATTTTATTAAGTTAAAAAAATCTTATTTAGTTTTCTTCAATACATTTTTTTGAATCAAATAAAAAATGTTTTTTTTTTCTTCCATATAAAAAAATTTAGTTCGAAAGAACCGAAGACGATAAATTTGTTTTATAGAATATTCCCATTTTTTTTTATGTGATGAAGTAGCTTCATCAACAACCTGAAAAAAAACTAATTACTAATAAATTATTAATCTGATTTAATATCGAATTATTTTGTAAAGACATTTTTTTTTAATTTAACCAAAAGATATAGAAATTAAGAAAAACTTTGCTAAAATATAAATTACAAATTAAACAAATATGGTTATTTGTTTAAAAAAAAAAGAAATTCATCACAACTTTAATATATAAAATAATTTTTTCCCTCCGTTTTGTCATGGAAATTCGGAAGTATTTTGAAATGAAATACATCATTTTTCCTAGACATTGAAATATACAAATTGTCCATACATATAAAATATGGTTTGCATCTGTAGTTCCCACCTAGATGCATAATTGTAAACGCCCACGAATGAGAGAAATGCAGCATCCTTTAGACTTGAGTGGTAAATCGGGATTCTCATCGAGATCAAGGACGTAGCAAACTATTATTTCTTTTCAAATGAACAGTTCGAATTATTTGTTCTTAGAAGGACATAAAAATATAATTGTGAAATATCAAAAGAAATGGAAATCATTTCTCGAAAAATCTATTTGCAAATCTCAATTATTAATGATTATCATTCATCATTCATTGTTCTACATTTTTGCATTTTATATATTTTTAAATATGCTATATATATTTTTTTTTCTTTTTTTTATCTACAAATTTTGAATGTTTTCAAAATTTTTTTAAAATCTCTTCTCTTATAATAACATTGAGAAAATATAATTTATCCTTGTAATTATTATTATATTTTTGGAATAGAATTTTTCTTTATTGCTTAAATAATAATCGAAGAAAACTATATTATGCAGAAAATAATAATTTAAGTGAACGTTTATATTGTGAGATTTATGAAATGTATAAATTATTGTCTCCTTTGAATGTAAAGCTAATTCTAATATTTCAACAAGATTTTAATCTTCTAAGCAGGATATATGATTATGTATGCCTGGATAAGCACATTTCGAATTCCATAAAATTACAAGAATTTGCAATTTGTCATGCTTGATTATTTTTCCTTTGTAAAATTACTCTTGAGCTTACGAGTTCCTAATTTTTTATTTGTTGCATAAACATATATGTATATACAAACAAGTAGGCGTCCTTTAATCTTTCCAAATTCTATTCAATTTGGCGCTAAATAAAGTGCTTTCTATTTTTATTCATTACGAATTACGTATTACATTCAAATTAAATCTACAAAAGTCCAAAATAGGACGAACTCAATTTAATTATTTGTAAAATTTAATTATTGTATTTATTAATATTTATTTTATTTCGTGTTCATTGCTTTTAAAAATGTTTTTTTAATTCATAAAAAATTATTATTTAAAACAAAAGATTTTGCAAACAAAATTCTAGAAATGAATAAATGAAAAATTAGAAACTAAATTTTATTGACAAATTTACAACTCTTTACAGAAGAATATTCAAGTCTATGGTTACAAAAGTTTTTCTGTGAAATGTCACAAAAATACACATATATAACATTTAAAAAAAAGTGAGTTCTAGATTTTCATTGATTTAAAAATTGAAAAATAAATTTAACACTTCACTTTTCCAGTTATAAAATTTCAAAATTCATTTATATATTTAAAAAATAAAAAAAGAATCTTAACGCATGTAGTACATTAAAAGTCATTTTCGAGAATCAACCTTTTGATAAAAATATTTTTCAAAATCTTTCCGTTTATTTAATCATATATATACTATTTTTTTTTTTTAAAGTTTTGTTTATATTTTAGTCAATGAGCACATAACCACGATGATGACATTTTATCGTACAAAACGTGGGTGGAAAGGCCTTAATTCATTGTCTCAACATATGACCTTGAAATTTAAATCTTATGTTATTTTTAACCCTTAGGCAAAGATTTCTCTTTTCTTTCTGACATTGGAATATTTCAACAACAACAAAAAAATGTTGTTTTAAATTCAAAAATAATTGAATTTCCCAACTAGGAGTCGATTAAATATCAATAGACTCAAATATTTTTGAAGAAAAATTTCATTTTTCGACAAAATAAATTTAAGCATGAAATTATTTTATTTTTCATTTACTTGATGAAGTAAACTTGCAAAAGTAAATTGACACGAATTTGAACTTTGTGCAGAAATTTACAGTATACTGAATACAGTATAAATATTTTATATATATATAGTATATACATCACTAAATCTAATTACAATATTCTGCATTGTTCTATCGTCATGAGATGCCAAAAAAAAAAATGTAAACAATTTTAAACATCTCTTTCTTTCTTTTTAAGAGCAATTGAATACCTAAAGAAATAAGTAAACAATAATCTTAAGGAATACCATTCATATCGATTATGCTGTTGATATTAATTTATACTTATTTATATCTATTATTACAATATAGACAAAAAAAGAAAAATTAAATTTACAACTTAGTCTAGTAAATATAATATAGACATTTTACGAATTGTACCTATAATTAAATAAAAAAATCTTAATAATAGATAAGTTGGTTTAACAAGAAAATTTTGTAAAATTTACTTAGAAAAATATTCTATTGTTTACTAAAATATATTTACTAATATACTTTGTAAATTTAATGTCTCTTTCTCCTCCGTGTAATTTATATTATCCGTTAAGAAAAACTCAATTGAATGTAAGATCTCAATAATTACATTTTGAATTTAATGTCATTAGTCTAATTGATTTTTTTTTGTTCAAAACATATTTGTTGGGAACATTATTTCCATCGGTACCGTTTTTTTACTTACTTGTCCTGTTTTTCCATTATCATCATCATCATCATCATCTTCATCAACAACAAGAATAACATTACAATCTCGAAACAACATCATCCAACCAGTCAAGTACAGCTGCTTCGCGTTCATCTCCACTTTCCATTTCTATGATGAATTTTATTTACTAAATCTCTTATTCTGAAAAAAATGTATTAATTACTGCGAATATTTTTTATTACTTTCAATTATTACTATTTAATGTACGTCACCTAGATTTTTACATCTATGAAAGTTGTGTTTTTTATTTTCGAGACTGAAAAATAAATATGTGACGCTATATGATGAAAGGGACGTAAGTAGCAAAAAATTATAGGTTACGTTTTGAAATATTTAAGTGAAAATACACAAAGAGGATCAACTTTCAATACAAATTATTGACATTTAAGTCTTCATTACATCAAAAATATTAAATAAAAATTGATTTTTATTTTACATTAATGAAAAGGAACTTTTAACCAAGGTAAAATTATCGTAAACATAATCAATTTCCTTCTTAGGTCCATTTCTTTCATATCGCGTCACATATTTATCAATAATAATTACCATTAGCATCGTCCGTATTGTCAAGTACAGCTCCACTGTAGGCGAGATCCCAATAATGTTCCACTTGGTGTTTCTTGAAATGTTCCCGAGCCATTTTTTCAATTGGACATACTTTAAATTTCACGTCATTAAAGTGTCGACTTTTGCTTGTGCCTTCCCATACGAGAACACATTTATTCGGTACATCATTGCCATCGGTATCTTTCACAATATCTTCCTCCCATTTAATTCGATGTAACATTAATCGTTTATATTTACTCAGTTGTTTTGCTCCACCTTCGACAACAACAACATTACAATCTCTAAACAACATCACACAACCAGTTAAATACAGTTGCTTTGCATTTGTTTCCACTTTAAATTTCTTTGATGCATTATTTATTAAATCTCTTATTCTGAAAGAAGACGAAAATTATATTTTTATTGTTAAGCTAAACGATTTAATTACTGTTTACAATGTGGCCACTAAAATTTGCAAACAAAATTCAAGACAAATTCACAGTTTTCAAGGTTACAAAGTTCGGTAGCCATCCTGCTTTTTATAATAATAGTAATTATTATTATTATACATTACCTATAAACAGTGACGTTAACACCAAGAGAAGTATCTTCTTTAAGTTTCCTTGCTTTTTTCTCGCGACGCTGTTCAACGGTTAATCGTCGAGCAGCATTTGCATCCTCATGAGCCTTTAATCTTTTCGCCATTTGTTGTCGAACGTGTTGTTCAATTTTCGTTGGATCTTGAACTGCTTCCGTTCCCAGAACCCTCATAAGATTTGAAATTCGTAATTTCGGTTCTGGTGGTGGTTCCAAACCCAATCGAATTTTCTCCTGTTCCTCCTTCCAAGCCTCACGTCGATTTTGCCTACGAAGCTTTTTTCTTTCCTTCTTGGTGAGAAATACTGGCATGTACACTGGCTTAAGAGGATCCGCTAAAAAAAACATGCATTAAAATAATACTTAAGATTTAAACTCACAAAAAAATCTTGTTAAGTCTAAATAATAAATCTTAATTTTTTGATGAGGCTGAAGTCCGCAACGTTTTCAAAAACGAAAAATTAAAATAGAATTATTTTTTCATGTCAATTTATCTCTAATTTTGATTTGCACAAACTTTCAAGAAATTAATACTTTTATAAAAACCAGTTACCCCCGAATAACTTTAATTTTAACCAAAATTAATGGATATTGTCTAATTATTTTTTCGTTTTCGTTTATAAAAACGTTGCGGACTTCAGCATCATATTTTTTGGGCAAGAAGAGTTTACTCAGTTTTTGTTGGAGATACAGAATTTTTTCATTTTTTGTGTCATTTTCAACAATGTCTACTTGTTCTTAACCATACTTTTTCACACTTTAAATAATTAAACTTTGTAAAGAATGAAAATTTTGAAGACAGTACGTTTTACTTGTCTACTTGTAAAATTTTAAAGTTTTGTACTTGAAGTTTATGTATACAATGTATCAATACTGTGCTTCAAAAAAATGAATTTAATTTTTTTTTTATTAAAAAATTTAAGGTTTAAAAGATACGCCCATTTATATCAATAAATAATACTCACTTGGTGGTCGTATTTGATAAGGATGCTCAACAAGATTAGTAATGGTGGCGGTTTTAATAAGTGTTGTCGTGTCGTCATTAATTGGATAACTTCCATTCAAAATAACAGAATCCCACCATTCCAAATTGGGCACATCTTCATTTAAAGCCTCTGTTTTCGGTGCAATTAATGCCAATTTCGTTGCCGAACTAATACCAGTTTTTCGCGCTATTTGACTGATTTCATTTTGTAATTTTTCCAATTGCGCCTTCATACGAATTTTGTGAGCAAGTTGTTGAAATTTACCTGGATCATTGAATTTAAGTGCACGTTTCACACGTATAGATGATTTCATGCCAATACGAGAATCAAAAAATCCTGTATCCTGTATTTCTTCTGGTTTTGACTCTTGTAATTGTGCTTTAAATTCTTCACGTTTTTTTGCACGTATATTCGCTTTCAATGTGGGTACAATTTGCGTGAGTTGAACTTCCTTTCCCGTAATGTCAACCGTTCGTCCTGATTCATCAAGAATTAATGGAGTTGGTTTGTCTGGGATACCAATATTGGGCAATGCAAGTGCACTCAATTTATTTCCAATTTGTGCTTGTAAAGCCGCAATTTTTCGTGCTTTATCTGAATCAGTTTTACTTAATAAACCTTGATTATACATGCTACCCATCGATTGAAATTGTTCTCGAGCTTTCAAGGAATGTCTCATAGGTGGAAAATCATCTTTTTTTATGGATTTCAAAGCTCGTTTTCTTTCTTCTATTTCCCTCTGTGCATTTACCATCATCAGTTTGATCTGAAAGAAGAACAATTTTTATATTAAAAATAAAAAAAAATAGAAATTGTTGAATCAAAAATGTTAAAAATTTTAAATATTAAAAATAAAATGAAAATAAACATACCTTATCAGCAGAGAGTTTCGCTTCATTTTTTTCTTGTTTGGCACCTTCGTCCTTAAATTTCGCTTTCTTAACATCTTTATCTTTGTCATCTGAATGCGTTCGTTTTTTACTTCTCTGTGATGCTTTTGCGTCATCATAAATTACGAATATTTTTTCTGTCAATTTCAAAGCTTTTTTGTCGTCCAACAATGCCGAGAGCTTGTCTGAAAGAGAATTTTTAAAATAATTGTTAAAAAAAAATTTTTCAATATTAAATCAAGGCAATTTAAAAAATCCAAAATATAAAAAAATTATAAATAAAAACTAAAATTCTGCATAGTTCTATGTAGAAAAATAGAAGGAAACATTCTATAAATATCCTTTAGAAAGGTTATGTTACACCATGATTATTGAATATTAATAAATAAATTTATAATTGAATTTTGAAAAATTGTTGTGCATTTAAATCATTGAATTGTTAAATATTGTTTAAAAATATAAAATATACCTTTAATTTTGTTGAAAAGATTATAATGACATCACTGTTACTCTACATTCAAGCATCAGTAGTATTGGAGAGTAAACTATACACTCGTTTTGTAGTACAGAAATTACTTCTTTTTTCTTAGAAAAAAAATTTTAATACCAATATAAATTATACTAACCTGCTGTTTTGCGTTTATCATACCCAGAAGTGATACAATTAACAGCAGTGGTGACAATTGAGGGCTCCCCGAAGCCGAGGAACTTGTGCACAGCTCTCTCAATTTGAGGTTTCATCTCGTCTATTTCTTTCCTGCTTAAATATGACATTATTACAAGTTTTTGATTAAAAACTCTTCACGATAAACTTTTTTAACACACCTAATTTCAATAAAAACACTCGAATTTCAAAACATAATGTGCAATTTGAAAAAAAGCAGATCAAAATTGACACAGACGTTGGAAATCGTTCACAACAGAAAGTCAAGAAATATAGGTTATGTTTCACAGTATGAAAATAGTTGAGAATTCGAGATATCGAAATTCGATTTTACTGACTCGTGATTGGTGAAAGCAACCCGCGTAATTTTGCAATATATTGAAAAATCACAATAAATAAATTAATATTTTTAATATTATATTGTTTTAAAACATTTTTAGTAAAATAATATTTTTTTAAATAAAAAGTATAACATATAAACATGCTTTAAAATGAGATATTTGTGAATATGCGTGTTAGAAGAATTTCAATTTTTGTATTATTGGCATTATTGGTCGATTGGTAGCATTGTTGAAAAAAAGTTTTGTTTCCGTGTTCGTTTCGTTTGCCGGGGCGGTAAATCAGAAACATGGAGGACAGACGAAGATCTCTTTTAAGGTTATCTCATAAAAGTATAATAAAAAATGAATCTTTGCGAAGAAATTCAATGGATTTCTCGTTTATTTCGAGAAAAAATAGAGATAATAGTGAATATGATTTTAATACTTCGCTTACAATTGCACCTCATGAATTACGAGACATTATGTCAAATTCCGAAAAAACCGATATCACTTTAAGAGAAATGATGGACGATGGTTCTGCAACAGGTATTATATTGAAATCAAAGGAACCTTGGCGAGATATAAATTCCAATTTGTATTATGAATTTATGGAAAGTATACAAGCACATTTATCCGAACCAGAAGTTTTTAATACCATCGCTGATTTCATTCAAAATTGTACCGATACTTTAGAGTTAATGAGGGGTAAGTTTATTTTAATTTTTAAAGAATATGTATTTTATTTTTTATTTGGTATTATTTGCTTATATTTGTAAGTGTATTATTAAAAAAAAAAAGAACTAGTTATTTTGTGAAACTAACATTTTGTTATATTTTCAATTAGGTATGCAGGCAAAGGTAGAAAGTAAAGAACTGTCAAACGAGGAGGTCAATTTGGAAAATGAACGAAACACTTGGAGATTGGTTTATTGTCTCTATCAGAATCGTCAAAATGCGACAAATTTCCAAAGGTCAATGGATGTCGATATGAATACAAATATTTCCGAGAAAGAATTGATTAATTCATTATACGAAAGTGACAAAATTATAAGAGAATATCAATTAATTATCGATTGGTTAGAGAAAAATGCTCTCGATCAAGCAGATAAACAGCCATCCATCGAACAATTCACGGACAAGACTGTCGCATGGGAAAATACATTACATCAACTTCATAATCGACAATTTGGAATAATGTTCAAATCATCAAGACCCATTGTGTCGTCTCTCGATCCCGACGCTCCAGTAAGAGAAGGAAAGCCTCTTCACGATTTGGATCGAGAAGATGACGAGAGACTCGAGAAGAGAATGTTTCTCGAGGTCATTATAACATATTTTTTTCTTTCTTTTTGTTAATGATAAAAGTTTTTATTAATTATTATATAGAGAGAAACTAATATTAAAATGATATATTTTGTTATTTAGATTCGTTGTGGAAGGCTACAAAAGGCACAGGCACTGGCTGTACATTGCGGTCAACCTTGGAGAGCTGCTTGTTTATTGGGTTGGACGCCATATCATGATCCAAATTATACAAATCCATTGAATGATACAAAATTACCCGTGGAAGGAAATCCAAATAGAGGTCTGTGGAAACGTTGTGCTTGGGAACTATCTGAAGATAAACGAGTAGGTTAGTATTTTGACTAATTGATCATTTTTTTTTTTTGGAATATAAAATTTTGAATATTTAATAATTTTTTTTTTTTTCCAACAAAATATATTTCTAGGTCGATACTATCGTGCTTTGTATGCAAGTCTTTGCGGAAATGTACAACAATTATTGCCAATGTCACAGTCATGGCAAGATGCATTATGGTCGCACATGAAGGGTCTGATGGACATAAAAATAGAACGTGAAGTAACCAGTACAATGCCCAAAAGTTATACACCAATGCCAGACGATTATTGGAAAGGTGAAGTAAATCTTGATGATATTTTCACTGAACTTCGTGCATCGAAAGATCAAAAAATACGCGCCGAAGCATCTAAACCCGATCATCTTATTCAAAAATATTTGATTCTCGATCAAATCCCTCAATTAATGGAAGAAATTGAAACAATGATACATCTTGGTATATGTGATTCGCAATTACTTCGTTTTTTAGCACATTTAGTATTATTTTTACGACGTATTGGAAAATGTTCAAATGACAAAATAGCAAATAAAGTGCTATTGGCATACGTTCGCATTCTCATTGATATTGGCGATCCAATTCTCATTGCTTATTATGCCGCCACATTACCTCAAGATGATCAAGTGACGAATTATGCTCATTTCTTGGAAGATGTAAAAGATTATGAGCAGAGGAAAAAATGTCTTGTTGCAGCTGAAGAAGCAAATTTAAATGTTGAAGCAATTACAAAATTAGTCGTTGAAAATATTCGTGTAAAGAACGTTGAATTGGAATCACTTGATTTAAAAGGCGAAATAACCGCTGCTGATTTAGAGAAAATTGATGCACTCGACTGGGTGCTTTTCTATCAAAATCAAAGAGAAGAAGCTTTATGGCAAAGCAATGCACTGATGAGGTGTTTCTTATCGAGTGAAAAAATTGATGCTGCTCGAAAAACTTTTAACAAGGTTTGTCCTTTTTAATGATAAATAATATTTTATTTATTTGAAAAAATCAATGTTTCTTTTCAAATTAATATTATTTTGTACAAACATTCTAAAAAAATAATTTTTTATTTTTTAGATTCCAAACGATACCATCGAGGTTTTAATGTCAGGTTATCCAAATTTGGGTGATACAATTGCAAATCTAACAATGTCTAATTCTCTTCCGAAAAAGCCTGCTTCCTCGATACGTGAATATATGTGTTACAAAGCATATCTCGATGCTCAAGAAGGCTTTTCAGAATGGTTTTCTCACTATCATCATGGAAAACCAATTCCACTGGACGATTTGCCAACTTATGCTACGTTTACTGAAAAAGTGGCACATGATCACAAGAAAGCTCAATATAATTCTGAATTAGAACGTTGGAAGAGCACAATGGTCCATCAAACTAAAGTACGTTTTAATTATTTAATATTACAATTATTTTTTTTATTATTATTTCTAATGTAATTTTTATTAGATAGATAGAATATTTTATTCTAATTAATATATAATATATTATAATAGTATTTTATAAAAGGTATATTTTTATTCCTAGGAAGTGAAGCAGTTACTTTTTAATGTTCTCCTGTTTCCTGATGGTGGTTGGTTAGTCGATGCACATACTGAGAATGATCCTTTGAGTCCGGAGGAAATTTTACGGGAACATCAAATGGAAAAATTGAGAAAATTGTGCATTCCAAAAATTGCTCTTTTGCTGCACACAGTAATGTCTGAAATGAATGAACACTTTGAGTGTGTTCAATTGGCAGATACTCTAGCTTCTGAACAATATCGTTTGTATAAGGTAAGTCGATTACTATCTCATAACAATTTTTATGTTTTATCAACAATATTTTAGTAAAATTCAAAAATTAACAAAAGAGAATAACTAAAATTTTTTTAATTATATCCAACAAGAAAATTTGCAAAATTAAATTATACATATATCATAATTATTTTAGTGATAAAAATTATTTGTTATTTTTAATTTTAATTCAGGTTTTTCCAAAAGAGAAACTCAGAGAAATTTTCAAAAAAATTTGCGAATCTTCAGTGTCATTAATGGATCAGAAGAAAGACGCCTGGGGATATTCTAAATAGTATTTATGACTTCAAATTTTCTATTATCGAGTAAATATAAAACTAAGCGAAATGTACAATATAATATACAAAAGTCTAAACAATTTTTTTTCTTTTTTATAAAACCAGTTTATTGTCAACCACAAGAAGTGAATATAAAATTTGATACAATGTTTAATAATGAATAATTATAATCATAATACCTTACAATACCTCATAATTATTAAAAGGGTTTTTTTTTCACTTTTCTGAATCACTGTCACAGAGTACGGACTAAAAAAAATATTTGTCAAGTTTGAAAAGATTATTTTGTATAAGACTACAGTTTATTTCAAGCTTTGTGCTTTGAATTTACTTGAGTAATTTATTATATTTTTCAACTGAATTTTTGATTTTTTTATGCCCATTTATAAGACTTTTAAATTAATTATCTATCAATTTAGGAATTTTTTTTATATTTTATACATGTGTGATTAAACGAAATGAATTGTCATTATACATATTATAAATAATATTTATATTTTTTGATATTACATACATTGAAGACTAATATTTTAATATATCTGTACTTAACCTTTCGATAGCCTGAAAACTCAACAAAAAAAAAACATTCTTTTTTAAATGTAAAAAAAAACATATTTTTATGTATTGTATAAAATTATCATATTTTTTTCAATGATAATTGTTATAAGAAATAAAGTAATGTGTATCCTGATAAAAGCAGTCTTTTTAATTTCTGCGGATACAAATGGTTTGCATTTTTATAACTTAATAACTACTCAGAATAATATTGAATAGTTCATAATGTTAATAAACTTTATATTTTTAATAATTTATCATTTGAATATTCAACAAATTCGAATAAAATTATAACTGTTGGTATGCGAAACAAGAGACAAAATTGAAACAAAATCTTCAAAAAAACGTTTTAAATTTAATTTGCATTCGAAAAATAAAATTTACTTAAAATTGAGAAATTATTCTCAATAAAATGATTTCTATTTTTAACAGGTAAAACAATATTTTTAAATGATTCACAATCGATAATAATTTAGACTTAATTTAATGGATTTTATCGATTAGTTTGTAATATGAGAATTTTATGTTTTTATCGTTATTCTATATAAAATAGAAAAAAAGTTTTGTATTTTATGCTCGAGCCACTTTAAATTATAAACAGCAATAAATTTCTACATTTTTTTTCAAAAATTCTTTTTCAAGGAATTTTGTGTTCATGAAATTATTTACATATACATGAAACATTGTTGATAAACTCATTCTAAGTTATTTTTTCCTTTTTTTTTTGTCTGCGTCTAGTTTTACGAAACGTAATTTTTTTAAGTATTAATTAAGTGGCATTCGTTTTGTGTTTTGCCCTGAAATATAAAAAATACGATATTTTCGAACCCTGTAAGACACATAATTAACATGAAACTTGTGTAAACGCTAATGCAATATTTTATTTCTACAATTTTTCCAAAAAAATTTCTCTAAACTATAAACCGATTAGTCTCATGACTAACGATTGTTTACCGCAATTTTTGTTTTACGAAACAAAAGAGTCCTTTAATTGAAAAATAATATTTTTCTTTTTTTTTGTATATTGTATATATGCCAGTTGTTGATGGAAAAAAATGAAATTTCTGACTATTAGATATTTTCCTTGCATTGTATGTACTTAATAACACCTATTGAGAGAAAATTGCAGAATAAGAATGTTAAATCGTATACGATTTTCATATTGTAAGGAATTAGTGGTAATGTTAGTCAATAACTAGTCAGCAAGCATTCTCCGTTTTCATTCTTATTTTTTTAACTCACATTCTTTCTTGTTAGCTCAATAGTCTCTTCTTCTTTCTTTTTTTACTCGAAACAGGAGATACAATGGAATTGAACAATGATTTTTAAAAATGCTTTACAACTGGCTATAATTAATTATTTGTCATTTTGCCTAGCCTAACACACAAATGTTGAAAAAAAATGGTTGACAATCTTTTATAATATAACATTATCATGTTGAGAGGAGTTGGTGTGTGGGGGGAGAGGAGGAAGATAGAATGTTTTGATAAGATTCTGATACTTTTTTTTTGAAACATATTTTTTTGTGGATCAAAGACAACATTATTATCTAATATTCTAACAGTCACAGGGTCATCATAGAAGAAAGAACTGTTTCGGTAAATTTTAAAGTGCTTTTCAAAAACAGTGATATTTTTTTAAATTCTAAAATCTCTCATTTCGGTGCTTATTATATGCGCAGGACCTTCGTATGTTTATTGACAAAGTTCTGGTTTATTTTCGAAATTCGTAAGATTTTATAGAATAATAGCTACAATCAGATGCCACAACTATCTCTCGCTCTTATTCATTTTTACCGAGACTTTTATTTATTATATTATTATTACTTTTATTAATATTATTATTATCATCATCATCATTATTATCATAATTATTATTATCATTATTATTGTTATTATTAATATTACTTGTTTTTTATTATCTAAATGTATTTTACAATTTACTTTATGCTAAAAATGAAAAAAAAAATTTTAATAAAATTGTTCTTTCACAATTTAAAATTGGCGCAAAATGAAAAAAAAATTACTTATCAAATTGTTTTCAATGTGTAAAAAAAAAGTTAGAAAAGGATTGAAAGAAATTAGTGTACATTGAAATTTAATTATTAAATGGAAAAATTATTTTTAATAATATTTAAAAATTAATTTAAAAAATGTATCAAATTATATCAATATTCTGAAAAGTAAAAAAAAGAAATGGTTTTAATTCTCTTAAATATTTAATATAATTCAATTTTTTTTTCGGTGAATATTATTTTTACGGATTATATATTATTATATCAATAATCAATAAACTTATTAATCATCATACAGTAAAGAAAAAAATTCTTAGATCCTGGGAATTTTACTAAATCTGCCTCTTTTAAACAATCTACTCTTCTGGACACATTATTTGTTGTGCTGCTCCATGATAACGATCACCTTATTTCCATTAAACTCTAAGAGATATGATTTATTTTATTAACTTTCAATAATTGCAAAAATACAAGGGAATTGAGTCCATTGGAGATAATATATATGTATCGAATGGATATGTCCTCATAATTTCCATTTCTAAATCTATTTTTTGGAGCAGCTTCCCCTCTCTTTCGCTCTTTCTCTCACACTCTTTTTCTAAACACTGCATAATCAATTCGACGATTTATGTTATTATTGTCATTTATAATTAATTTATTAATCAATTAATAATAAATCATTATCATATAAATTTTTTTATTTAATTTTTATTTCTTTGATCGTTATATGTTTTGAACTTTTCTAATTTTGCTGTTATAATTAATTTAATCAATGATATTAATAAAAATAACAATAATTTATTAAATACATAAAAATAATTTAATTAATGCAGTTATCATGTAAAAGTTTGCTAAAATTTTTTCGAGCGATAATTACATTTACATATTATTATTATTATTATTATTATTGATTATTCGTACTGACTTTTATTATTTTAATTGTCTACTTTAATTAATTTATTATTAATTTATTAATTAGCAGTGTTTGTTTCTTCACTCATACATTAAAAATTAATTTTCAAAAATGTTCATAAGAAAAAAAATCATATTTTTAACCCTTTTTTTGTCACTTAGATTGCAACATTGACGCAACAGTTAATTATTATAATTATTATTGTTACTCTTATTGTCACTTATTCGTAATTAAATTTAAGTCGTGGCACTACTTAAACTTTACATTCTTTTTTTTTTTTTTTGACTTTTTACATATCGTGCTTTTCATGGAGATAAAACAGAGATTTTTATATAGTTATTTGTTTATTTTTTCTTTCGTAAATATGTAGCAATTTTACACACTGGTGTTATACTTTCATTATTCTTTATTTTAATTTCTTTAATTTTTCATCAGATATGAAAATGAATTAGATTTATATTGACGAAAAAACTGGAAAATTTCGTCAAAATTAAAGTTTTTCAAGTCAATTTAGAGGACACCCCAGCACTTGGAACTCTTAACGAAGCATTTACAAGTGAAAAATAATAATTAAAAAATAATAATAAATGAATTTAAAAAAAAATGACTACAATCTCTACGATATAGACTGATTATGTATTTCGCTGATTTCTTGGTTTCATAGTTTCGAGGTCCTTGTGCGCGTCGCCTATATTATTATACTTTTCCGTAACTTTATATATCACTTTGTTTCACTTTCAATACGTTCGTCTCGTGAATTATCGGAATTTGTTAAAAATTATTTACAAAAAAAAACATGATTCTCATTTTTTTCTAAAATTTGTTTTTCATAAGAAAGAAGTTCAAAAATTGGATTGTATTATTTTTAAACAAGTAATTAAACTAATTATAAATTCTTGAATAAATAATTTTTTTTTGAATCATCTAAAAATAATCAATAATTTAACAAAATTAAGTTAAACCAATCAAATAATTGACAATTCACGAGATCGTTGGATTACTAAAATCGACATTGACTCTACACCCGTAGCACAATCTATAGATATTTATTATTCAGTCATATTTGCTATTAAAAAAATATGCCATTATTTTGTTTTTTTTTATGTTTTCATAGCGACGTGCACAAGGAATTTGTTCCTAAGTACTACAGGGTATCTCCTGTCCGAGTTGATCCTGATTTTCATTATTATTTTTTTTTTGTTCTTTAAACAATATATATTTTTTAAATACATATATATTATGTATATTTATATCTGCACCCAAGGCACAATTATACTTTCACTCCGTTTTAGGAAGGTTCACGCTTACTTTTTTTTCTTTCTTATATTTGCATACATGTATACGTTACAGCACATTATTTTTTTTAATATAATATAATTATTAGTTTGTAGCTGTGACTTCTTAAGAAATTAGATTTCTCATTAATCGTCCTTGCTTTAACTATCGTACTGAATTATTGTCAAACAGCATCTTTATAAATATTCACTTAGACTTCTATACTTAAATTTTTAAAATTATTATTATTTTTATTATTTAATAAACTTTGTGCAAAATTTACAATCGTACACATTTATTCTCTCCACACTCTAAAAGTTTATTCCAATCTAAAATATATATAAATATATTATATATTTATGTTGGTACCAATCAGTTAATTATATAGAATATATTTCATTTTTTTCATTTCTAATTTTTATAAAATTTTCAATTTTTAATAATTCTTTTCTTTTTACTTTCAATATAAGTGCGAGTTTAAAAAGTGCTGAATGGAAAAAAAACAATTTCGTCTAAATTTTCTTATTTAGACATTTAAAAACATTAGATAATTTTAATATTTAATTTTTTCATAATTATTTAAATTTAATATAAGATTTTTCTTATTAGTAACTTTTTCTTGTTTGATTCTTTCAATATGTAAAATACTTTTTGATTTTCAAATTTCAGTAATTATTGTTTTTTTTTTGCATTTTTCGCTATATATTTTTCTATATTAAAAAATAAAATAATAAAACGTTAATATTCACTATTCTTTTAAGAGTGTGGATCAAAAATCGATCTCGCACGAGAGAACATAAAACCGCAATATTTTATTACTTTCAACGGTTATTGTACTCTCTTAATATTATTATTGTGCTGCCATTTTTATTGTCAGAAATTCATTGAATCAAAATTTTTTCTTTTAAGTATTGTCTTAAATTCCATTTTGAATATTATTATTCTCTAAATTTCTTTTATTGTCCAGCCCGAGTGAGCGCATTTTGTGTACGTCGTTTTTCTTTGTATATCATATATAATAATATATAATATATACATATATATGTATAATATATATGTATATGTATTACTGTATGTATATGTATATAATATGAAATATTGAATCTGATAGCTCTTAAAAATATCTTCCTACAATTCTTGTTTTTTCTTCTTCTTCTTCATTTTAAATACGATACGCAGGCAGATCTTAGGCGCTAAAGTACTTTCAATACAACCTTGTATCATGTGTTTCTTGTTTAAGTGAATTTTTTTTAACTCTCAACGCACGTCTATCACACGAATGTTCTCTTGATCTTAATTCTAAACGTCTCTTCTTTTCAATACGCCAATCGTTGAATTACAAATAAATGATGGCGTTTTTTTGTGTTCGCAATTCTTTTTTCTGAAATGGAATGCGAATCGTGACCAATAAAATAATTTTATAGGGATTCATCTTAGAAAATAATGAGTGTATAAAGAAGTGAGAAAAAGTATTATAATCGTGGAAATGGTTGAACCAGCACTCGTCAAACCTTCTTGTTCTTCTTCTCTTCGGGCTCGTTCTCCTGGATTTACAACGTGAATTTTCCAACCCAAATTATTGTGCGTGAAACACTGGGAAAAAGAGGGGAAATTTAAAAAAATACATTGGAAAAATGAATTTTTTTTTCACAACGAAGCAATGGAAAAAAATACCAATTAAAATTGAATTAAACAAATTAGAAATAGAATTAAAATAGAATAAGAAACCAAATAAATGTGAAAATTCAATTAAGATAAAAATAATAAAATAACAAACAAATAAAAACGAAGTATATTATTATAGAAATAAAATAAATTTTTTAAAAATAATTGTATATAAATTTTGCACTTACTTGATAATAAACCAAATTTGGCGTATCTTGTGCAACTGTCCATTCCAATTTTGCCGGTTGACCAGGTTGACAATCAAGTTTCAATGTTTTGAAAAATTCGTCAAAATTATCAATTTCTGAACTTTTATCTACACTTTTGTGAATCCATTCGCAATAACGTCCTTGGGCTGTTGGAATTGCTTCACCTTCTTTATTGTGAGCAAGACCCGCGAGAACTCTTTGCTGTTTCCGTTGTCCCTCACTTTTTTGCTCGTACCCACCTTCTGGACTTGTTGTTATGTAAAATGGATGATATCTATAAAAATTAAAAAATTACAAATAAATATATAAATAATGTAAAATTTTCTAAGAATTTCAAAAAAATGCCAAAAAAATATTTTACATTAAATCAATTAGATAAAAATAATTAAAAAAAATTAAATTCTATTAATAATATATTAAAAGAAAATTATGAAATATTTTCTTGTTAGTAATATCGAAGTTGTTACAACAATATTGCAAGACTAACAAGTGTTTCATTCTATATTCATTAAGAAGATGTTTAATGAGAGAAATTTATCAAGGCTTACTTTGCAGGGTTGGATGGATCGTTTCCACCTTCTACAATGAAAGTGTATGTGCGACCTCGTTCCACAGTAATTTCAGGTATGAGACGATCGTTTATGTACCAAGCAATTCCCCAGGGTGGTATTCCTACAAATTAAATTGGAATATTTTATACGTTCAGAATAGAAGAAATAATTAAATACAAAAATCAACAATTTGATCACTAATAATCTAAAATATTCTGTGCTAGACATTAAATAATCCAATTTCTAAAAATATAAATAACAATTAACTATAAAAAGAAGGTCGTGCAGTTACAAGCAGTTCAATACAAAGTAGATTATTAAAATGAAAATTTTAATTAAATTAAAGAAAAAAAAACTTAGATCGCAATTTTAAATTTTAAAATATAATTATGAATCTAATTAAAATTTTTTTTATTTAAAAATTTTAAAAACAGTCTATAATATTTTATAAAATATATTTCTTGTTTCATTAACTTGGTTTTTGAAAATAATTAAATTTTTAACTGAAGGCATGTAAACTTAATAAAATTGAAATAAATAAAAAATGAAAATTAATACATTGATAACGAGCACAGTTTATATTAAAATTATCCCATACCATTAATATTGTTCGACTCGCCTTTTCCTTAAAGAATTAAAAATACATATTGTTTTTATACTTAAGTAGATAAAATTCATTTTGTAAAATATAAAAATATTTGGAAAAATTTTCAAATTAAGAATTATTTATACCTGTAATTGCAAAATATCCTCTTTTATTGCCAGCGGGTCCAATTCTCGCTGTGAAATTATCAGTATCAATAATTTCTGGAATCTTCCAAGGTTTCAAAGTTGTTGAATCTGGCAAATTGTACAGAGAAGTTTTACACTCGTGAATATTCCTGGATGTGAAATCGATTCTGATATCCTCGGATGTTTGATCAGTTGGTTCATGAGCATTTGCTTCACCTCTTGAATTCAATCGTCCTATGGCAGCAATGACACTAGTTTCAAATTCTGGAATCATTTTATCTTTCACCGGCTCATTTGTTCTCAATGGTCGCATATATGTCACTGAAAATGAAAAAAAAATTTATAATTAAGATAAGAAATGATATAATTAATAAAATTACTCACAAATTTATTTCATAAAATATTAATGAAAATCAAATGACAAGTAACATAAAAATTAAATAAAAAAGAAAAATCGCATTACGGATTTAAGGTAAATAATTGAAAATACCTGAAGTTACTCCATTTTTTCGTGTTCCTCCAAGCAAAATGGCATCATTTTTGCCTCCTACTCGTTCGTCAGGACAAACACCTTTTTCTCCATCACATTGTGATAAATGTGACATGTAATAATCAACGGCAATATATTTTTGAGTTCTTGAATCGTAGGCAACAACAACAACATCTCCGCCAATCATTTTGGATTCATTTTCCTGTCCGGAAAGGCCAAAAGCAACATACTGATCGTCCTTAATTTTTCCTGATACTCTAATTTTCACATCATCTCCAACGACTTCCCATTGAACTTGAACACGACCATCCAACATTTCCTTACAATTACTAAAATCGTGGGTGGTTGACGTTGGAACAAATGGCGGCGGTGTACTGCTCGTCTGTAAAATATTTTATCATTATATTTTATTACTGAAATCAAAATTATTAAAATTACTTGAACAATAAAAGAAAAATGTGTTCTAAGTGTCGATTTTCATACTTTAGTTTAAAAAAAAGAAATTACAATTTACAAAATAAATAAAATAGGAAAAAATAAAAAACTAATGTAATAAAATTTACAAATCAACAATTTTTTTTATATTATCACGAAAAAATAATTGTCTTTTAAAGTTATTTTCTTTTTTAAAAAAGCAGCACATATACATAATTGTTGTACTCATTATTATGAAAAAGCGAAGAGTGACAGCATAACTACGAGACTAAGAAATTGATGTAAGAAGATTATGATAAGCGACTTACCGTTGAGTTGCTTATTTAAGAATAGAGGGAAAAAAAATATAAAAAGTTGCTAAAGATGTAGAACAGAAGAATCGGGATCAGCACTGAAGTTTTAAAAACATGCATTTTAACCCAAATGAAAAAGGAAAAAAGCGGAATAGGACATTCTTCCAATTTTGTTTCTTAAACAAAATGTAATTGTAAAAAAGTAAATAGTTGATAAAAATAGGATGAATAAATGAAAATCTGTAAATAGAACAACAATGAAATGAAAAAAAAACCAAAAGTTACTAAAACAAAATGTTTATTAACTTAAGAATGTTGATTTTTTTGTAATGTTTGAAAATTCATGCCGCGTCTCATTCTCAAATATAATTTCAAAATACTCACAGGATTATACCACCAGTGTGGCTGCAAAACAGACATTTAATTTAAAAATCAAGAAAAAAAAATAATTTTAACAAAACTATTATTGTTTCTTTTGAATTAATAATATAAATATTTTTAATATTATAAAATTAACTTTTCAAATTTTTATAAATATTAAAATGTCCATTTTTTGGCATTAAAGTATGAAAATATTATAATTTTATAACATTTTTTTTTATTCCACGGTGTTTTTATTAATAAACTAATTTGAAATTCCAGGACTTTTCAGGACGAATTTCTTATTTTTCCAGGACATTTAATTGAATAATTTTTACTTTTTTATTTCAATTAACACGATTCTTAGTGTTTTTATTAATTTTTCTACTTTTTCCAAAAATAATAATTAATTTCTTTTCAGCAGGGTCCTGGAAGTCCTGGAAATTTCAAAGGCAACATTTAATTCCATTTAATTATATTATAATTATATATTATAATTTTTAATTTAATGATTTTTTTTTATTATTCCTCCATGAATGATATGATTATGATTATCCCCCCTTATGATTAATAATTATTTTTCAATAATTTTAAAAGATTCATGCAATGTTAATCACAAAATTCTTATATCACAAGTGAGAGAATTAATAATTAATTAAACATGTTAATTAAAATAAAAATCTTTAAAAATGATAAAAAGGAGGAAAAAATTGAGATTTACTATAATTTAAAAAATCACGAGTGTTACTATAATTTTTTTGTTTTCTCGGAAACATTTTAGCGAACAATTTATTGTAGTGGTTTGCGAAAGCTTTCAGCTCCCATCGATCAGAAGAAAAATGATCTCGGTTTACCGTAATCTTTGTTTGTCCAAGAGCTGGAGGGACGTCAAGGTCTTTTGGTATCAAGACGTGTCCGAAATTGTGCTTATATTGAACACACCAAACCGACAGCCATTCAATGTTATAGACAGTTAGATTTTTTGGCAAAACCACTTCAATATCCTCGCCTTGATATCCTCTCAGTGGATCGAGACTGAAAAACAACAAATTCCATTTATTTTTTGTAATAAAAAATTTTTTTTTATTAAATTAAAAACAAATTAAATTTTTTTTTTTGATAATAAATAAAGTTATTAATTATTTAAATATTTATTCCTTTTTCTTTTTATACTTTGAGAATTAATTTTTAATATTGTCATTTTTATAATTCGTTTTTCAATGAAACAAGAAAATAATATTGAAAGTAAGGATAAAAAAAAAATGCTCACCTGCCCACTTCATTGGGTACTTTAGTACCATGTATATTAGGTTCTGAGCCATTTCCAACCCAGAAATATGCATCCGGACCGGCGCCATCATAATGTAGGTTTGGAATGTAGAAGGTTTTGCTGTCCAGAATACTGATGTTTCCACTTCTTAAGCCGTGTGCTAATCTCGAAAATTCTGGCAGTATTCGAGGTTTTGGTATTTCAAGATTCGATGGAAGAAAGACGTCACCAAAGTTCACCTGAAAAATAACAATTATTTGTGTTCTTTAATTAAATTATATATCATTATATTTTAACATAATTAAATTTCATTATATTTTTTTAATTTTCAATTTAATTAAGAAAACACATTTTCTAAATAATTTCTCAAAATTTTGACTTCAATTTTCTTAATTAAAATCTCAGAATAAAAATAATAGAATAATAAATAATAATAATAATAATAAAAAAAATCTTTAAATTGTTCAAAAAAAAAATTTTCACAATTAAAAAACCTAAATTAAACATGAATATAAAAATTAAGTTTTTAGAAGTTTATTTGAATGTTTTCATCATATTCATCAAAAAGAGGGAAAATATATTTTCAGTGAGTGAAAAGATTAATCAGTGCGAGAATTTTCATCACCAAGTTATACTTCAACAAAATCGGAGATCTCTAATTTGTACACCGTAGAATTCATATATATATATATATATATATTCTACTACTACATATTCTCATTTGTACGAAGAGCGAATCAAAAAGTCAATCAATCATTTCCAATCCCACGCGGACATTTCGAATTTGACGTGTGCGCGCAGCTTTGAAGAAGACATTTTGTGCAAAAGTCATTTATTTCCAAGTCTCATCGCAAATCATAATATAAATCTTTATAGACGTTTTATATAAAATTTCTTCAACTCTTTGCAAATTATTCTTCTCACAGTTCAATTGTGTAATTAAAAAAAGAAAGCCTAGTTAAAAATTAGAAAATAATTATTTCACAAAATTTCAATTTTCGACAATTTCTAAAATATTCAAATTTAAAAAATAAATAAATAAAACAAATTTCTATTGTGAATATAAAAATAAAATGAAAGAATCAATAGTAAAAAAAAAGAAAATTTCCTATAATATTGAACACAAAAGTCAAAAGAAAAAAAAAAATTCTTGAAACTTACATATAGAGAAGGTATTAATTATTTCCTAAGTGATATAATGATTGTCATCATATATGTCGACAATAGGGAAGCTATAAATTTGCATGTAGATGTTAATCCTATTTCGTTTAAGGACTTGTCAATCACATTTCCCTAAATATAGTTGACAGATGAGAGAACCATAGATCATAATGAACAAATTATCGTATATAAAAATTATGATTAGGAGAAATATTTAAAATACTATAAAAATAGTCTCACTTTTTATTATTATTATTATTATTATTATTATTATTATTGCTTTAATTATATAGAAATTAATTTGAATTTTGTAATTATTGAAAAGTTCAAACGTAGGCGAGTTCAGATCCAAAATTCTAAAATGTTATTCACTATATTTAATATTTATCATCCTCCGCAATGCAAAGGTCAAATAATGCACACGTGAAGAAAAATAGGAAGTGAAATTCTGTTCTCTTTTTAAATATACAGAAACAATTTTTTCCATGAAAAAAGAAAAATATTTCGTTGTGAGTTTTGAAATAGAATTTCTTTAACGTTATTTTATTCATAAAAAAAGATTTTTTTTTTTTGAAAAATTGCAATATCTAAAAAAGCTGAGGATCAGAATAAAAGAAATATTACAATAAAAATACAACTCTGTCGTGTTAAACAAAAACTTACATGACATTGTCGCTTAGGCTAATTTATTTTGGTGCATTTTACTACTGAAATACCGACCAAAACAACAATGTCACTTACGTAAGTTTTTGTTTAATACGGCAGAACTGAAATAGAACAAAAGTATTATAGGAGAAATATTACAGAAAAATAACAGAATAAAAAAATATACAAAACCTATTTTGAAAGAAAAATTTATAACGAAGCTGAAATACGCAACGTTTATAATAAACGATTTTTAAAGAAATAATGTTTTAAAATGAAAGATTTCTATAATTTTTTGCCTGAAAAATATTTCTTTATAATTTGTTGATTAATGAAAACTACAAGAAATATTTTTTAAGAAAAAAATTATAGAATTTTTTATTTTAAAAAAATTATTTTTTTAAAAATCGTTTATCATAAACGTTGTGTACTTCAGCTTCGTAATTTAAACGGATAAAATTTGATTATACAATTTCGTACAGAATATATTTTTTATTTGCTGACTAAATACCTACATATTAAAATATTTCAAAATATACATTCACATAGATTTTAATCCAAGTTACATAAAAAGAATTTTTTTTTTTAAATTTATTTAACCTTTTAATTTATATTAAAACCCTTTCAAAAGTCCATATATATTTTATAAATTATTTTATAATTAGAAACAAGAGAATCCGAGCTTTCGTTTTACGTAATTTTTATTATATTTGTATAAAGGTGTATGATTTAATTTTTACATTTTAGTTTTTAATCATCAAACGGATAAAATACGCATAACAAAATTAAATTTAATTTAAAGAAAAGAATGTTACCACCAACGTACATATAACGTTTGTATTCTAAAAATAATAATATTACATGGAGGAAAAAAATTTTATACTATCGCGAAATAATTTTGGAATTAATAAAGTTTTAATTGCTCAAATTAAAAATTTGTTTGAATATATTCAAATTATTTGGTTACCTATCTCAAATTATTCGATGTCACCTAAACTTTCTTGTAATTCAAAGAAAAAAAAAAAAAAAATGGTAATCTCAGGCATAAATTTTGATTAAATCAAATTATTCTTTTGCAACTAAATTTTACATCAGTTTAAAAAAAGAAAATTTTACCTACTTTTTAAAGAAAAGTACAATAATTTTTCTTTAATTATTTTTCTCTAAATTTAAAAGTAGCCCACAAAAATATTTTATTTCTTTTGTATTAATTAATTAAAAATCTCAATTTTTATTATCAAACCTACGTAATAATTGTTTTCATTTTAAATAATAATTGTGAAAAAGTGAAAAATTAAAAAAATAATTTCCCTCTTCATTTTTTCGATAAAATTAAAAATAACAATAAATTAATTAATATTCAAATATATATATATATATATATGGGGGATCTCGGGTGAAGTGATCAAAGTAAAAAAAAATTTTGTCTCAATTTCGCTCAAACTGGAGTAATTTGTACTTCTATTGGGTGGTAATTTATCGTAAAAAAAATTTTCAATTTGGACCAATATTTACTCGGGGGGAGGGGGTTGAAGTTTATGGGTAGCGTTTTCTTTAATAATTTTTTTTTCTTGAGTATCAAAAAAAAAAATTTTTATCAACATCAGTTTCGATAGCTTTTTTAATGCTCTTTCGATTGAGGACATGCATTTTTGAAAAAAAAAATTTTTGAACCAAAAAAAATTAATTTCAAAATTTTTTTTGACTTTTTCGGGGTAAAAGGTACGATTTTTTTTTTTTTTTTTTTTTTTTTTAAAGGAAAGCTGAGATTTTTTCCTGTAGGGACATGTAGTTGAAAAAATGGGACAAGAAAGATTAAACCTTGAAAATTAAAATTTTTTATTCACTTTAGCGCTGCGCTGCGATCTACCACGTGACACATTAGTAGTATGGTATTTGGAGAGAAACATTAATGCTCTCTGCATTTTACAGGGTTGAAACTGTTATTGAGTAAATACCTGTATTTCATCAACGTTTAAATTTGGATAATAATAAATGAATAATAATTATATAAAGTGGAATCTTGGAAATTATAAAATCGGTTCAAAAATAAATGTAGCATACTAATAAGAGTTTACTTTATTATAGTAATCAGTCTTATCAAATAAATACTCATTTATATCAATTCATCATTCATTTGGTTATTAATTTTGTCCCGAAAGGACAAAATGTCGAATGGACAAAACGTCGAATAGCAAAACGTCGAATGGACAAAATATCGAAAAGCCAAACTGTCGAATGGACAAAATGTTGAAAAGTCAAGACGTCGCATAGTCAAAACGTCGAAAGGTCAAAATGTCGAAAAGCCAAACTGTCGAATGGACAAAATGTCGAAAAGTCAAGACGTCGCATAGTCAAAATGTCGAAAAGCCAAGACGTCGAAAAGTCAAAACTGCGAATGGACCAAATGTCGATAAGTCAAGACGTCAAATGGTCAAACTGTCGAATGGACAAAATATCGAGACGATATTTTGCTCTGAGTTTCCCTTCTATATAATGCACACTAGTTTGTGTTGCGTTTAACACTCGATAGATATCGCTAGTTGTATTGTTTTTAATGTTTTTTTACATTTTTTTATAATAATAATAATAATAATAATAGTAGTAGTAGTAAAGTAATTATTATAGTATAATAATAATAAGAATAATAATACAAACTTTTAATTTTAAGCAGTTAAACTAGTGTGCATTATATAGAAGGGAAACTCAGAGCAAAATAACGTCTCGATATTTTGTCCATTCGACATTTTGACCATTTGACGTCTTGACTTTTCGACATTTAGTCCATTCGCAGTTTTGACTTTTCGACGTCTTGGCTTTTCGACATTTTGGCTATTCGACGTTTTGGCTATTCGACATTTTGTCCTTTCGACGTCTTGGCGATTCGATATTTTGTCCGTTCGATGTTTTGGCTATTTGACATTTTGTCCGTTCGACGTTTTGGCTTTTCGACATTTTGTCCGTTCGACGTCTTGGCTTTTCGACATTTTGACCTTTCGACGTTTTGACTATGCGACGTCTTGACTTTTCGACATTTTGACCTTTCGACGTTTTGACTATTCGACGTTTTGACTATGCGACGTCTTGACTTTTCGACATTTTGTCCATTCGACAGTTTGGCTTTTCGATATTTTGTCCATTCGACGTTTTGCTATTCGACGTTTTGTCCTTTCGGGGAAAAGCAGTCGTCTCCATCAATAATAATGTAAGTAATGAATTATGAAGAAAACTTTAATGAAAAAAATATTCATTTTATATTATTTCTTAGTCAAATAAAGACTCATTGCAGTCAAATATTCGAATAAATGGATAAATTAATAACCAAATGAATGATGAATTGATATAAATGAGTATTTATTTGATAAGACTGATTACTATAATAAAGTAAACTCTTATTAGTATGCTACATTTATTTTTGAACCGATTTTATAAT